TAGCGACGTAAGAGAGAAAAAGGCTTCTAATGTGTAAGTCATTACAATGCCAGTTCTGGTACCTTCAAGTTTGTCTCCAAGGAAACTGGCTTGCCACTTCCAGAGGTCTTGCTAGCCATTAGGATTGCAATTCTAATAAAAACGCCTGTCCCACCTTTCCAGCCACTCTGTTCCACAGCCCGGAATCACTGTTTCATAAGTGGACTTTGGCTGAGATTTTCTGATGTGTGTGTCGCTGGGCCCAGACTGAGTGCTAAGAAGAAGGCAAGTGTTCCTTTGTTATTATTCTCCGGCTCGGGAGTATGCTCACTCATCTCAGTAAGAGCAGAATGTCAAAGAAACAGGAGGCCTTGTTGATGCTCTTCATACCTGAAGACACAAATGGTTGTAAGCAAAGCACTGCTCTCCTCATGTGCCCTTGTGTTCCTTCTATGAGGCCAACTTCCAACATTTCTATATCAACAGCAGCTAAGACATGCCCCATTGTGTGCTACAGCTTCTCTACCATATCACAGTGACACAGTCACTTATCAGACCCATCTGTTATGCAGCCAATAGTTTCATGACACAAAAAAGTAACCCACTTGCTCATTTCTTATCGATGACATTAAGGAATTAATATCTAACTTCATTAAAAAAAAAAGAGCACTCTGGCCATAGGAAGGTAAATGAGGTACCCATTGCTATAATCAGAGAGTGAGGGCCAAGATAGATAGATTCTATTTAAATCATTTTACTTCCTCATAAAGTTTAGTGCTCTTCGTTTTAATCTGTTGATTATTTGAAACTATATGACTAATCAAAAACTCAGCATTTACAAGATTTATTGACTTAACTACCAACGATACAAGCATCAGTTAAAATAATTAGGATGTAGTGAACTTATCACATTGACTCCAGTGAATAAATCTATCTAACAGGAAATAGCATATAGTTTAATAAATGAACTCATTGTAATGGTCTCGTCAACCAGAAACAGCTTTCTAAAGAAATACGTGCTAGGCATGGCGGCATCTCCCAGCACCAACAAAGCTGAGGCAAGACAGCTCTAGGACCTAGGCCATAGTTATAGGTTTTCAAAATCAAGAACCGTAGGAAGGTAAAGTCAACACACTCAGCATTACATCTTATTATTACTTGAGTTGGAAATCGAAATGAAAAAAAAATGCTAAGTCATTTGAATGATATTAATATTTTACTCAATGTTCTTTAAGCATATTGCAATGACAGAAGGCTGGGAAATATACCTGGCTTTAGAATGTAGTTCATAAACATAAGGAAACCTAAACAGGTTAGAGGCTAACAGTGAAGAGCGCTGCCAAGGCGCACTGCACACATATTCATACTAGGTTAATAAACAGAAAACAAGAGAAGCACACATGAAGAGCACAACATTACCCCAGCGAAGGAAATCCAACTGACCACAGATGCTGGTGCACAATCAAGAGATCTTAAGGATACGTCTGAGTATACAAATATTAAATATAAATATGATTATAGGTTTATCAATAACTGATTATGAAGAAATTCAATGTTTGTTTTACATGCCTCACTCTTGGGTCAAGAGTCAGACATGAGTGGTTGGTCCTTACAAAGAAATAATTAACTAAGCCACTGACTTTGATGTTCTTATTACATCAATTAAGTAAAAACAACAATAAAGAAAAGAGAAAAGAAACTCCTGTCTAAAGGATGCTCAGGGACTTAATTTTCTTGGCTATCTTGACAATTTCTTTGGAACACTCATGTCCAGCAGCGAGACAAGAGCCTACCTGCATAAATCACATAGACAGTATCTCTTATTCTAGAATTTTAGCTCCTGGAGAGGGACAAGGAGCCCTAGTGATGACTGTTTGACCAAGTCTACCTTCAAAACAAGTTTGTCCTAATTAACACTGACTTCCTTTTTCTCTATTTTCTCTGTAGGTTCAGCATGCAGCTTATTAGAACCGTGAAAGTTTCATAGAAGTTGAACTGCTAACACTTTTGAGGGCACAAGGCCTGTGTTGAACTCTGAAATCAATTTTGGACAGGAGGTCTTTGAGTAGAGTGGAATTGAATTCTGATAAGACTTAAATTATCTTTCCAAGTAGCTATGGAAAGATGTCATTAAAGAAGGGCCCCGACTACAGGTTCTTAGTAGTGGGGAGAAATCACGGAGGAGATAGTAAGGTTCATTATTTGAATTCACATAGCTCTTCCAAGTGTATGATTGAATATCTCCCAGATAGTCTTCCTGGCTATAAGTGCAGTGCACGATACGCGACCAGAGCAGAGAGTTCTAGCATCCTAAATAATCTCAGATAGCTTATCCTTGCAACAGTCTGCATTCTGAGCCGATGCACTACAGAAAACGATTAAAAATACAAAATTGAAGCCTTGTTACTCACCCAGGAAAGTAAACATTAAAGAAAAGAAAAAAGGAAGATAGGCAGATTTAAGGAGCGAAACAGCTTCCCAGAGCAGAGGGAGTCTGAGTTTCACTGCACACATCAGGAATGGTAAATAGGTCACCAAATCTAATTATAATTGAGTTCAAATGTAATGTTTGTTCAATAGCTTTTCCTGAGCAGACCAAGGGTGCTAACAAAGATTACCTCATTCCATCTTCGGGAGTCTTATGGGAAACCAGTGCCACCAATTCCATTATATGGATAAGACAACCAAGGCTTAGAAAGATCAAGTAACTTGTCCAAGACGGAAAGCTTTGACTGAATCCAGTTCAAACTCATGTTCTCTGCATACTCTTACATGGTTTCTTAGTCCTGTATGTGAGACACTTGCTTAAAAAGCATAAAAATGAGCAGCTGAAGAAGTCTTCCACAAAAGCATTGCTACAATAGCAACAGTCAGAGACACAGTCAAAAAAAGGACCAAACAGGAGCTATAAAAAAGTAACTGCCAGAGAAACCCTGTCTCGGGAAAAAAAAACAAAAAACAAAAAAGGAACTGCTCCATGTCAAAAGCATGCTAGAGCTTGCTTCTGCTGCCACCAAATTTGCAGCAATGAAAAGGATTTCACAATGGAGTCCTGGGCCATTAGAAAGTTGTGCCCACTTAAAAGAGGTCAGACTTAAAAGAGGCCTTCCTCTTTTCAACAAAGATTCCAAAGTGTAGTACTTGAGCTGAATGACCTAAGAGGTGAGATTTTGCAGCCTAGACTTATCTTATGTAGACAATGCATCTTCCAGAACAACATGGCATTTATGGTCTGAATAACTAAATACAATCAGTACTCCCCAAATCACAGGACCAGAAGGACATGTGGCTAATACAGCCCTGGCTGTGTCCAGTGGTAAGCAGAAGTCACCTCTCTCCTGTATCTCTCTTCTCCCTTCTAGAGAAGCTAACAAGTGACCTTAAAATGGTTTATTTTCTCTTTTTCTCCCACATCTTTAGCTGATGACAATATAATGACGCTACATGTGTTTACATTGCTCCTGAAGAAAAACAAAATAAAATCGAACCTAAGAGATGCAATGTAATATTATATGAATATATATAAAATCTCAGTCATGGAAAACTGAGCTCTGTGCTGCACACCCCTGTGTTTCAATAAGTTCAATGGTCCAGAATGTTGTTAGCAACTGGGCTGGTTAATTTTGTGTCAACTTGACACAGCCTAAGGTCACTGAAAAGGAGGCAATCTCAATTAAGAAAATGCCTCTTAAGACTGGGCTGTAGGCAAACCTGTAGGGCATTGTCTTATATTTAGTGATTGGTGGGGAAGGACCCAGCCTATTGTAGGTGGGGCCATCCTGGGCTGGTGGTCCTGGGTTCTGTAAGAAAGCAGGCTGAGTGAGCCATGGGGAGCAAGCCAGTAAGCACCATGTCCTCTACATCAGTTCCTGCTTCCATGGTCCTGCCCTGACTTTCTTTAGTGAGGGACTGTTACCTGGGGATATAAGCTGAAATAAACCCTTTCCTTCCCAAGTTTCTTTTAGTCATGGTGTTTTGTCACAGCAATAAGACACCCTCATTAAGACACCAACTGAGGCAAAAATGCCAATAACTGAACTCTGGAGACTCGCAAATTTCTGGGTCTAGTACCTTATTCTCAAGTTTTCTTTTCTTTTTCTTATTTTTTTTTTATATTTTTATTTTTTGGCTTTTCGAGACAGGGTTTTTCTGTGTAATAGCCCTGGTTGCCCTGGAACTAGATCTTGTAGACCAGGCTGGCCTTGAACTCACAGAGATCCACCTGTCTCTGCCTCCTGAGTGCTGGGATTAGAGGCGTGCGCCACCACCGCCCAGCTCCTCAAGGTTTTTTAATGTTGGAAGGGCTTGGCAGTGGGGACAACCAAGGCTGTTTTTTAGGTTAGCAAAAGGTACTACTTTTCCCACAAATATGTTCCACATATAAGTCACAGCCAGAAAGACAGCAAAGGAATTTACTTTGGACAGAAAATCATTTTATAATTCATCAAACCACGAGATCAGAAGGCATCTTAGTAGATTAAAAAGCAATGTAAAATGCTGAGAAAATGTGACTTATGTTCAATCACTGAGCATAGGTTTGTTCTTTTAAAACAGAACAGCCTTACTACCTCAAGGGACTCTATAACAAAGAGGTTCTTTACATCACAGACAACCTGGGGATTGGGGAACTAAAAATGATTCTGCAGAGATCATTAGCCCAGAAGTTTGGAAGATCTACTAAGTCTTCTCCAAAGTACTGGGACTTCAAATGCAGAATGAGACTGAGTAACAGGATGCCAACGAGGAACCATTCGTATACATCACAGAGAACATACCGTTTCTACATAGAGGCCAGGAAACCTTTCTGGCAAACTGCTAATTGAAAGGCAACTGTCTCCCAACACAATTTTCTGACCTCCTATGATGCTAACTACACACACACACACACATAAACACAGTATGGCAATTTACGCATGTACACATCTTTTGAAGTTCAAAGCATTGATGGCGACATTTATGTGGAGTGACTGGTGTTTTGTCAAAGAAGGCAAAGCAGATGAAGACCCAGTGTGGGGACTTACAATGTAGCAGGGCTCACAGTAGGCCTTCTTCTCCACGGCATAGAAAGGCTGTCCTCGGAGCTTGTTATTACAGACGATGCAGGTGAAGCAATCCACGTGGAAGACTTGATCCATGGCGGTGCATCCTGTCCCTTCCCCAACCACGTTCTCCCCACAGCGAGCACAACGGCCTGCAAGATAAAGGGTTGCTTGTTACAGAGGAACTCCTGGGTCATCCCAAAGAAGCCAAGGTGAGTGAGGCAGCAGGCTCATCCTGTAGCAGCTAGAGACACAGCATTAATGGTATTACTACACTAACTAGCGACCCCACCACCATCTCCACTGCCATCACTGCATGAACTAGCTCATGGATGGCTAACATTTTCTTGAAGTTCTTGGATCAGCTCATTTCCTACTCATGACACTCTATGTGGATTTACTATTCTTACTCTAAAGTCGGGGAACATTAAAGTCACAGAAGATATTTAACTAATTTCATACCCAAGCAGCCCTGCCTGAGTAGTGTCTACTCCAACCCCACGGCTGCATTGCCTGTTCTGGGCTCTGTATGAACATCGCTGCGGATCTGGCATTATGGAATATTATGGAGTGACTTCACACTGAAGAAGGCTTTCAGCACCCCATCACATCGGACTGACAGCCACTTCACACTTGAAACTGGGAGGGGTAAATGTTTCAATAAGAAGAGGTAAATAGATTTCTCTCGGGTTGTATTTGGTCCTGGAAATATTCCTTTGGATTCTGTTGCAGGACTGGAGGAATCTTTAAAAAAATTAAACAAACAAACTTGAAGCATCATCAGTCAAACACCGGGAAGAGTTCAAGTCTTTAAAAATGACTGTCTGTATTCCAATGGTGTTGCTGTAAAATTTCAGCATTGTGTTTTTTTTCCTTGATATTTAACACAATTATGATAAACTTCTATCCAAGAGTTCCCTTACACTTATTTTTCAGCATCAGACACAGAATTAGAAATGCTCCTTCCAAGTCATGTACCTTCTCCACTCATAGTAAGAGAGCTAATTTCTTTCACTGGCTGCAATTTTTGTGATTATTCTCAAAACAACAAAAACCATTATCCAAACTTTATTGGTTTACTAAAAAAACTGAGCATGCTTTGAAAATTGATGGAATACCTCTGAGGGTTTCATGCCAACAAATGACATTTTATTGTAGAACACAGACTGAGAGGTGGGGCAAATTGACCAAGCCATATGAATATTATTAAGAACCCGCTGAATTCCCTTGAGAAGTATAATTTTTATAATATAAACTAAGTATAAGTCAACGCACTTATTTTTCTATATTAACTTCTCTCTTAATAAGTTGAAAGATCACTTAATAGGATACTGAGAAGCACATAGGATCTATGAAACGTACTTTGCCAAAATAAGGAGGGGATCGTGTGATGGCCATGGTGGCTGACTCGGCAGCAGAAGTAGCTGTTTGGGTCTTGACCATGAATGCTCAAAGTGAGGTTCATGGAATCAAGAGCCTGAGTTCATAAGGGATCTGCGGAGCTGGACAGCTACCCTGGGCCTGGAACAACTTTAATGACCAGCTTACAGGAAAAGCCCACTCTAGACAGGAATGTTTTGGTTTTCAATCTATTTAGCAGACTCCAAGGGTATGCTCTTTGTCCAGTACAACAATCTGCTTTTGTATGACATCAAGAAGTGGACCAGTCACCATCAGTGCTTCTTACAGTGATTGTGGCAGCTTCCTATGTCCAACAATCCATGACTACATGTACGGCACGCTGCGGAAGAGCGTCCTATAGAAATATGCAAGGGAAGTCACATCTAAGCAAGCTGTCTGGGAGTTTCCTGAGGAAACAGGCAATTGAATTTGACCTTAAAGAATGTTGACAGGTAGAGAGGGAGAAAAACACTGCAGTTTTTCCCCAAAGAAAGGATGGATGTCTGTGGTTTACTGGATGCAAAAACATTGTCGTGCCTGGTGATGGCAAAACGTTTTGTCTGCTCACCACCAAAGCAGATGGCCTGCATTCCCAGAAACAATTCCCTCTTTATGTCTGGGCAATATTCTCCCAGAGTAGGTCAGGCTAATGTGCTGGACCCAGACATGACCAGTTCTGTCACCCCCTGTATTGTTCCCGTTCTGGGGATAAATTAGGGACACCAGCCTCAAGGGCAGCCAGTCTGGCACCTTACGATTCACAGGCACAGAAAAAAATCAGCAAAGAACAAAAGTTAAAAATAGCTCTACAAACCAGCAACAGAGAAAAGGTGCCCAAATGTTCCCCCTTTATATTAACAAAATTGTACAAACCGTTCCTTTGGGAGGGCATTCAGAATGCAAGGCGAGCGACTCAAGCAGAGGGGTATCCTTTAAGGTACCACAACCTTAATGCCCATCTTTTAGATAAAATTATCGGTGCTTGAAATAGGCACGGTCAGAGGGATGGTTGACAGGCTTCAAGCCATCAGGGATAAAGGAAACACAGTTGACTAGGCAACAGGAGGCAGGAGCTCGGAAACAGTGCCAGCAGCCAGAACTGAGCAATGCTTAACAAACCAAGTGAACCAAGGGCCTCCACACACAACAAGAGATCTCATATATTATTACTGTCTGTGCTGGCTTTGGAGCCTGTGCCCTTTTCTCCAGTTTCCCATGTGGAGCAACTTCCTTAAGGTTGACGAAACCAACTTTGTAAATCAGGTTTCCTTAGCCTGGGAGACTACAAGGGCTTCCTCATCGCTCTGAACCTGTGATTGTCTTACTGCTACAAATGGAAAGGCCTTATGGGAGTCTTAATAATTGAGCTAAACCCGAACAGCCAGAGTATTTCAACTAAATAGTAGACAATATGTCAGTAGAGAGGGACAGTCTAGGAAAACCAACAGGCTAAGCAAGTAAAGTTATCAGCGAATAGGATTATTTTCATGCTTGGAGGTTGTGCTCACTTTATAACTTGCAAAAAGAATATTTGATTTAAAAATACTTTCCTAATAATCACTGCAAGCAAAGGACATTTTCAAGAAAGTGTATAAGAACTTTGGCCAGGGGCTGGAGAGATGGCTCAGCGGTTAAGAGCACTGCCTGCTCTCCCAAAGGTCCTCAGTTCAATTCCCAGCAACCGCATGGTGGCTCACAACCATCTGTAATGAGATCTGGTGCCTTCTTCTGGCCTGCAGGCATACATGAAGACAGAATACTGAGAATACTGTATACATAATAAATAAATAAATCTTTAAAAAAAAAAAAGAAGAACTTTGGCCAGTACCTCACACTCTGCTGCGTCTGCCCCCTCTTTCCAGCCCTTTCTGTCTCTTGTTCATCCTTTTGCTATCGAGCTGGCTAGTTTTATGTCAACTTGACACAAGTCACAGTCTGAGAGGAAGGAACCTTGATTGTGAAAATTCCTTCATACTCTCATGCTGCAGTGGGACATTTTCTTAATGAGTGATTGATGGGGGAAAGTGGGTGATGCTACCCCTGGGCTGGTGGTCCTGGGTTTTATAAGAAAGCAGGCTGAGTAAGCTATGGGGAAGAAGGCAGTAAGAAGCCCCCTCCACAGCTCCTGCCTCCAGGCTCCTGCCCTGCTGGAGTTCCCGTCCTAACGTCCTTCAATGATAAACTGTGATGTGCAAGTGTAAGCAAAACAAACCTTTCCTTCCCAAGCTGTATTTGATCATGATGTTTTTTATCAAAGCAATAGTAACCCAAAGACAGCTAGCCTAGACAGTTTCATTTCTATTTTGCCTGTGTATGTGCATGCGCGCACGCACACACACACACACACACGTAAAATCAAGGACCCACGAGTGAGATAAAACATGAAATATCTGTCTTTCTGAGACTTAATTAGCTTGATAAAATTATCTCCAGTTGTATCGATTTTCCTCCAAATGACATTACTTTGTTGTTGTTCTTTTTTTTTAAGTGAAACATAGCCCAGGAAAAATGCTGCTTCCTGGGCTGGTCCCCATTGCCTGATTTCCTTTTTCTTTTTAAAAACATTAATTAATTAATTTCTACATATTAACTAAAATATAATTATCCTACTTCCTTTATCCTTTTCCTGCCTCCAGTCCCTCCCCAGTCCAGTCCACTCTCATAATGATATCCTCTTTCTCTCTATTATTGTTTCACACACACGACACACACACTATACACACACAAGCGCCATCTTGTGTCCATTTTTGTTTGTGTGTGTGTATGTGTGTGATTGTGTGATTTCAGAGCTGACCACTTTGTATTGGATAACCAATCAGGAGCCAAGCCTGGGAGAGACTGTTGGTTCCGGTGCTCTCAGCATTCATTAGTGGCCTAGAGTTCTTTGTGTTGTAGGGCCCTCTGAGAGTGACATTCTTTAGTCTTCTGCTTTAGCAATTCTACTTAGAGCCGTTGTTCAAGACTTATTTGTTTCTTGCATGTAACTGTTCAGTCTGCATGAATGTTTATGCACCAAGCGGTGTGCCTGGTGTCTGAGGAGGCCAGAAGAAGGTGGATCCCCTGGAACTGTAGTTATAGGCTGCTGGGAGTCACATGGGGTTGCTGGAAATCCAACCTGGGTCTTTTGGATTAGCAGTCGTGGCTCTTAATCCTGGAGCCATCTTTCCAGCCCCAACTTCATCCCTCCTCTGTTCAGACACCTAGGCTCATTACATCAATTCACTGCTGTGCTACCATAACCACTGATACGCACGTGACATGCTGCCTTACAGTCCTTGAGGTAAAGTGTGAACAGCAATATAATAACCATGGATATGCAAGGTCATAAAGGGCATCTCCCTCTAGAGTTTGGGAAGGCCCTTAGGAGGGTTTATGAAGCAAGATACTAAGCAATGATGCACTAACAAGGTACCATCCTGGAAGCACACAGGGGTCTTGACAAGTCAACAACCTTGCCAGTGTCTTATGTTGGAAAACCCAGTCTCTAGATCTATAAAGAAATTTCTGTGCTTTACAAATTATCTAGTCTCAGCTATTATGTCATAGCAGTAAAAAAATGGACTATTAACATTGTGTGGCTACTAAAGTATTTCTGCCTTCCAGTCCCCGCTCCAAGGGGAGATACAAATTTAAATCACAAAAAGGCAAAAATGCATGCTTTAAGTACAGTCTTTTGAAATTCTGGCTCATCTGGAATTGTAAATAAGACCATCTCCCCCTTCATCAAAGGAACTGGCACGGGAATAACCTT